CTTAGATTGGTCAGATGATAGAGAAGCTGGAACTAGAGATCCATTTGAAATATTTTCTCCGGTGAGAGCAAGAGTAAGTCAATTACTTCGAGCGACAAATCATTTACCTAAACTTATTTCATTAGATGTATCAGGTAAGTTTCGATATTGTCGAATGAATAAAAATTTTAATTTTAATTTGTTTAAATGCACCTACAATACTTTATTTTTTTCCTTTTTTAGGAAAAGATGATGTTAACATAAAAGATGTTTCTGTATTTCTACAAGATCGACCAAATGTTGTCTTTTTAGGTCTTCTGTATTCCGATGCATGTTATTCAGATCGATTTATAAATACTAGGCACAGTGAATATAATCCAAAACTGACAGTAAGTTTTTTTTTTTTTATTTTTTTGTTGTATTCTACAGTTTTAACGTCATAAATTTAAAGTTTTTAAACGTGATAGGAACTACTACGTGGATTTTAAATAATTCTCATAAAAATTTATTACAGGTAACAGGAACAGCAAGCGAAACGCAAATTTTAGAATCGTTAAGAAGATATTCAGCTCGTCCATTATACATCCATAAAGCTCTTTGTGATTTATTTAGATTAATGCCAACGTACGTAAACGAACCTCGGGTCGACATAATTAAATTAGTTTTAAAAGGAATGGCGTTGCATCCTATGCAATTCGGAGTTCAAATGGCTGCAACTGCTTGCCTTTATAATTTAACTAAAGGCGAATTAGCTGCCAAAATTCATCCGACCATATTAAAAGATGTCGTGGAACTCGCTTTGACGGCTATGGAAAACTTTCCAAAACATTACCAAGTAAAATTATTTTCTTCGTTTCACCCCATCACCATATCTCCTTCGTATTATTAATTTTCTTAACCGCCATTTGTAAATGGCGCCAATTAATTTTTTTTTTAGATGCAAAAAAATACGCTGTTGACTTTATGTAGTGATAGGATTTTACAAGATGTGCAATTTGATAAATTTAGATGCGTCAGACTCGTACTTGTCTGCCTTTGTAACTTTGACGATTCTTCGATAAACAGAATGAGCGTGGCAATCTGCTCCATTTTAGGTACATACAATCGAATGACAAAATCAAAATAAAAAATGGCGGACACAAATAAAATTTTAATTTTTCTTTCTTACAGCGGCTAAAATATGTACAAACGAAACTGATATTTTAGGCGCACAACCCGTTTTCATGCGGAAACTGTTAAAAATAGTAAGAAATAAAGTGGAAACTCAAAGCGTGGATATAACAATAAAATTTACATTAAGTGCATTATGGAATCTTACCGGTAAGCAGCAAACGCATTCAAGTTTAGAGAGAGAGAGAGAGAGAGAGAGAGAGAGAGAGAAAATCACTCACCAGGCGTTAATTGATTTCAGATGAATCTCCATTAACGTGTAAAGTATTTCTCGAAGAAGGGGGAATGAGTTTATTTTTATCCGTACTCGAAGTTTTCGCCGGGGAATGCGCCATTGAAACCAAAGTGTTGGGATTGATAAACAACATTGCAGAAGTGGCCGAATTGAGACCGCAGTTGATGATACCAAAATTCATTCACATATTGAGAAAATTGCTCGTCACTTCCGGTCACATAGACGTGAGTTATTTTGCCGCTGGAATAATAGCACATTTGGCGAGCGACGGACCCGAAGCCTGGACCATACCCGACATCGGGAGAGATTACATATTGAAAGAATTGGCTACGGCCGTGGAGCTGTGGGAAATGCCGGAAGGGGAAATGGTTTCCTATCGGTCTTTCCATCATTTTTTCCCATTGCTCGCGAGAAACGACGCTTACCAACTTCAACTATGGGCGGCTTGGGCCATACGTCACGTGTGTGCAAAAAATGGTACGCGAATGAATGAATGAATGAATGGATTTTACGGTTTACGAAGTAGTAGTAGTAGTAGTAGTGGTCGCTATATATTAATAAAAATAATAATTTTTCTTTTTAAACAGCCAAAAAATATTGTCCGATGTTGATAGAACAAGGTGGATATAAAATAATTCACGATTTATCGACGAATCCGAACGTACACGAAAACGTTCGAGCTATTTGCGTGTCCATATTGAAAGATATTCAACGATAAAATAATAATAATAATAATGATAATAAAAAATGGAGTTGAAGGAGTCGACTGACGATTTGATGTTTTGCTTCGAGTTTTGCAACAGGAGAGCCTTTCCCCCTGCCCCCCCCCCCCCGTGTAAATAACAAAAAAAAGGTCGAAAGTGATAAAATTACGACGGATAAACAATTGAAAATAATTATTATTATTTAATGATGATAAAAGTTTAGGAGAAGAAAAATTAAAAATTTAAATTTAAATTTAAATGGCGTTACCGAAATTTAAAAAAAATTGATTTGAAATTATTATTATTATTATTATTATTATTTATCGTAAATCAATCGCATCGTTTTAAAATATTAATCGTTAGCATTTGTATATATATATATATATTATATTTTAAATTAATTTTGTAATGTGTAGTTAAAAATGAGAAGAAAAATGAGAAAAATTTTTGTATCAAAAGTTTTTTTTAAAGTCTTCAAAAAAAAAAAAAAATATTATCTTTATATATATATATACACATGCATATTTCCCCCCCCTCTCTCTCTTCTCTCTCTCTCTCTCTCTTCTTTTTCGATTTAAATAATAATAATAATAATATGTTTTTTTTTTTTTGCTAAACGATTTAATACGTACGTATTCGCTGATTTTATTTAATATATTTATCAAAATATTTTAGGGAATGTATATTATTATTAAAAGTATTGACGAAATTGTTAATAAATTTAAACTGGTTTTTAAATTGTATTGACATATTTTTAAAAATTATATATATATATATATATATTTTACAATAATAAAATTATCGTAGTACGAATATTTATATGTGTGTATAACATTCATTTGTGATTAATAATAATAATGATAATGATAATATTTTCAAAAAAAAATTCTTAATAATGATAATAAATACAAAACATCCAAGAATCTGACAAGAGTTTTAAATTTTTACAATAAATGTAAATAGATATTTTTGTACTAAATAAATAAGAGAGCATTCATTCATTCAATCAATCAATCAATCAGTCAGTCAGTCATTAGCAAATAATAAAAAAAAAATTTTCATAGCAATCACATTTAAAAATATTAAATACATCGATAATGCTTTTATAAAACAGCATTTTTTTTTAAAGTCTAACATTTATTATTGTAAAGCTCTAATTATTATTATTATTATTATTATTATTAAAATGAAATTATTTTAAATAATAATAAAAAATAAAATAAAATAAAAAGTTATATAAAAAAATATAAAATTAAAATAACTTAATAAAAAAAAAGTCTTAGGAACAGTTAGAATTTTTTTGCTTGTTTAAATGTTTTTAAGTTCACTGGAAATACTGGAACAAGGTTCTTGTTCCTCGCTTAATACGTCCACGTAAGAATTTCGATTATTATTATTATTATTATTATTATTATTATTATTGGATGAATTTGAATTTTTTGTCGTGATAATATCTGTACTGGAGGAATTACTAGAAATTTCTGTACTCTTATTATTGTCACTGATAATAACAACAGATTGCCGAGATGTTTCTCCTTCGTTTATTCTACCTGGATGAGACTCCATTTTCCTATCATTTTTATGCTCTTTCGCCGTCGTTTCGTCAACTGATGAAGAAATGACGTCATCAATGGCAACGGTATTTTGTTCTCTTACAGTATAATCATTCGATACCAATAACGTATCTGATTCCGTGGCTTCCGGTTCGCTGTTAACTTCTCTTATTTCTTCGACTTTTGTGTGATCGTAAACTCGATCCGAAAATCTATTGACTATATCTTCGTGCGAACTGTACGGTGGAGGTGGTCCTTCTTTGGTCGGAGACGTTACGATTTCACAATATGGCGGAGGTTCGACTGGTCGTCTGACAAACTGTACTCCGTTGTTAACGTTATACGTCACCAAAAGCGGATCCAAAGACATCATGTCGTTTCTGTTAAAACCCGTTCGATTGAAGTATAAATCAATGTCGTAAAATGATAAACCGTTGAGTTGATGATTTCCCAACATGTTTCCATCTCTGTCGAACGTTCTATTTGCTGCCGGACATCTTGTCAGAAATGTTTGACGAACTCGTACTCGACAAATTGCTATTACGATGATTGTTACGATGAACATGAACGCCATTGCGCAGCCTGTTTAAAAAAAAAAAAAATAATTATGTGGATGACATGTTTAAATAAGAAAAATGGATACTTACCTATTACTGTGTAAACTGTCGTTTGTAAAAATCCCATGTCTCTCTCAAATTGATGACTTACTTCAGTTTCGACATCTCGAGCTGAAATTAAAAAAAAATTCAATTGCAATTGATCAAAAGTTTATTTATTTATATTTAAAAGTTTTTTAATATTTTATAGGTAAATGCATACTTAATTTTCCTACATGTGAGCAACAGCTATGTTTGACTTTTATGGTGCAATTAGGTTCTTTGTATAATTCACAACACCATGTGAAAGGTATGCAACGACTGTCAGGGCACATGAGCTTATTGTCACAAGGATTTCCAGGTCCGCAATAACTAGACGATTCATCTTCACCCTGTTTACAATCTTTCAGACCGTCACAAACATATCTTTTCGGAACAGTAATGCCATCATTGCATAAAAATCGAGAATCATTACATTCTGTTTTTTCTAAAATTAAATTTGAAAAAATTATTATTGCATAATATTAAAAAAAATTTACAGAATTTAATTAACAAAATACTTAAATTATTACTTACTATTTTTAACACTGACATAAACTGTATTTTCAATTTTAGGAGAAAAAAAATCATTTGTTACAGTCCTGCATGTATAATTTCCAGAATCTTCTTCTGATAACTGTTTAACTATAAGTCTAATAAAACTGGCATTCGATTTTTCACTGCGAGCTCTAAAAAAATAATTATTTACAGTAATTTATATAATTATGCAATGCAAAATATTTAATTCACATTATATTTATTATATTTTATATACATTAAATTTTACTTGCCTGTTTAATCGAAGTAAAGGGTACCCCCATTCTAATTCCACATCCCTCATATCGGAAGCATTTTTAAAGGTACAAGTCAAATTTAATATGTCACCAACTTTGTAAAATCCAACATTTTGACCACCAGAAACGGTTGACGGTTTAATATCTATTAATGCTTTTGTATTGAATCCATAACCTAATACAATGGCAAGACATTAAATATATCGGATTGATTATAAATTAAAACATATTCAATACTTCAATTTTTTTAAACGATTAAGTATTTTAGTATAAATACATTTTAAAAACATAAATTTTAAAAATTATAATTTGTTTCATTTATTCTTTTTTTTTTCGAGAATTGTTTACCAAGTTAAAAAAAAAATTACACATTAAATTATTAGAACATTGTGAAAGAAAATTAAAATTTTAAGGTGATTGTAAGTAAAAGAAAATAATAAAATTAAATTATCTAGGTATTTATTTTAAAGTATTTTAACTGTGATAATAATTTACCTATTGTAAATATAAATAAATTACTAATTAAAATTGAAATAAACAAAATAAACAACGCCATTATAATACTGTTTAAAAATTTCACATTTTAAAAAATTGCTTTTACCATATATTTATTACAAGTATATAAATTTTCTTATAATGTTTCATTATTAATTTAAAGTATAGATGCTTGTACTTGAAACGTGGTTTTAGAATATCTATTTTATCATTTAAGTAATTTTTTTTTAATTTAAAAAAAAATTAAATTAATTATTTTTTAAATACAGATTGATTTTTATTTTAAATAAAATAAATAAATAAATAATTATATTTTATCTTAAAGATATCGAACGGAATTTTCCAAACGTGATAATATTATTCCAAATATAATAATTCGGTGTTAAACTTTTTTTTTTAAAAAATACCGCCAACACCTGCCGTCGTTCATTATTTATTAAAATTAATAATTAATAAAATATTGTCATTAATATTGTAATTATTGACTGCAGAAAAAAATTTTTATTTTTTATTTAAGCGTAATTATTTTATATCGGCATGATTAAAAATAATAATTTTCAGTCGTAAATAAAGTTTTTATGTTGAGTTTGTATTAAGTTGTCGACGTAATTTGTCAATTCGTTCGATTATATTGTTACCAAAAAGTCTTGAGTTCAAAGTTAAAGTTTAAAATTTATCTTGTTTATTTAAAATTAAATAAATGTTAACTTTTTTTCATAATTAAAAAATTATTTACGTTTTACATTAAATGGTTGCCAATGGTTAATTTAACCAAAACGTGGACGTAGACAATTGATATATTTTAAAATATAACACTGGCGACTAAATTGTTTATAGAGAAAATGGGTCCCACCAAGTACTTATATTTGAATTTTTATTTAAAATTATTGACAGTTTAATGTAAAAAATCAAATTTATAGTGTCGTGATTAATGAGAATATCAGCAAAAGTATCAAAAAAATTTTTTGGTATGGTAATAAGAAGCCGTAAAAGCATTCTAAACGACGGTGTCATGACGGTAAGCTATCATATAACAATGTTTATAAAAACCGATCAATGTCTTCGTTTTAGACTTTTATGTAAAATTTTTATGTAAACATTATTTTTAAATACAATATAATTTACTTATTTTATTTCAATTGTTATAATCTGATTACAATTGAAAATTTTTCAATCATTCAAAAAATTTTACAGGATCCATAAAATAAAATTATTTTTGTACCTTTTTAATTGTGAAATAAATAGTACTTAAAAAAATATATAAAACTTTACTTAGATCTTTTAAAAAAGGTTATAAAGTATTACAAAAAAAAAAGATAATCACATAATTTTTCTTTTTTAGACTTCAGGTATAGGTGAACCGAATGTGTATCATGCTTTGGTTGTTATTTTTTTGGAATTCTTTGCCTGGGGTCTTCTTACCATGCCAATTATTGCAGTAAGTAAATTTGTTTTTTTATCGAAAAAATTTATTACAATGATGTTAAACAAATAAAATTTTATAAATATTTTTTAAAAAAAAAAATAACAATTTTTTGTTTAACTACAATAATTTTCAGTTGAGCAAACTTTTACAATGCCCAAAAAATGAATTAATTAAATAACAGAAATTAAACAAATTTTTTTTTTTCTTTGTTGTCGAAATAAGGTTTTTGTTTTTGTTTTTTTTAAACTAATTTTTTAATCATTTTTTATCAAAAAAAAAAAAATTACAAAATGTATTTGTTTTTTTTTTTTTTCCTTGAAAGTACAAATAACTCTTTAATATTATTATAAATAAATTTTATGTTTATTTTATAATTTGATAAATAATATTATTATTTGATATAAAACATCATTAGGATGTAATGAACTGAATTACGAAAGAAAAAAAAAATTGATTATAAATTACTTTATCAGTTTAATTGAGTAGTAAATTTTTTATCTTATTTTCAATAACTTAATTGTAAATGAAATCATTTTTAAAATTATCAATTTTTTTTTTTGCTTCAAGGTCATTTGTTGAAAGTAATTAAAAATCCGGTTTTTTTTTCGGTATTGTTTCGTTTTTACAAACACAACAAATATCGAGTTGACATATAATGATAAAAATACAAACTGTTTTCTAATTTTTTTTTTTTTTTTTTAATAATTTCAGGTACTCAATGAAACTTTTCCAGATCACACATTTCTCATGAATGGCATTATAATGGGGATAAAAGGATTTTTATCATTTTTAAGCGCTCCCCTCATTGGTGCTCTCTCCGATGTTTGGGGTCGTAAATTTTTTTTATTAATCACAGTATTTTTTACTTGTGCACCAATACCATTAATGACTGTTAACACTTGGTGGTTTTTTGCTATGATTAGCATCAGCGGAATATTTGCTGTCACATTTTCCGTTGTATTCGCATATGTCGCTGATGTCACAGAAGAAAGCGAAAGAAGTTTAGCATATGGCTTGGTATAAATAAATTTTATTTATAAATATTTATAGAAGCTCTATCGTTTTATATTAAAAATTTCTCTTGTCATTTT